AACATACAGGTATGTGAGGGGGTGACACATGGAGGTGGGTAGAGACCTGTTCTCCCCTGCAGAGGAGGGCCGGACATGCTCCAACAGAGCAAAGCTCAGAGAACCAAGGTTCAATTTAGATGCTAGGAAGTACTTCCTAGCAGTTAGGACCCCAAGGGTATGGAATGGGGTTCCACGGGGGGTGGTTGAGGCCCCATCGGTGAGGGTGTTCAAGGATGGGCTAGACATGCACAGGGTAGGCATGTTGTGAGCAGAACTGGCTAGAGCTGGGGGTCAGACTAGATGGCCTGGGAGGCACCTTCTGACTTGCTCTGTTCCTATGTGTCTTCTGAAAGAAGATCTGTGACCTTCCTGAAGTAGGTGACCACCCAGGGAACATCTGCCTGCTGCTCTGTGCAGCATTTGGGACACCAGAGACTTGGAGCCCACCTCAACAGCCCTTCACTCCCTGTGCTGCTGAGTGATGAGAGTGCAGGAGCACAGCTGTCACCTTGGTCACAGTAGAGGTGGGACGTGAGTGGCTGGGCACTATTTCCAGATGCTGCAAACAAGGCAGCAACCTTGACCAGCAGCCTTGAGTGATGACCAAAGGCCAACACAAAGGGGCACCGCCCTTTTGTGCCCATACATACCCATCTGGTGCCTTCTTGGCTCTGGGGAGTTTCTTCGTTAGTTGTACCACAACTGAGGGAGTTTTAGCTTTGCCTAGATATGTAAGGGAGGCTTGGGGATGCAATTAGAAGGGTGGTTATGGGTAGAGGAAAATTTGGTATATGGGAAGGATATGCCTATGTAGACAGGTATCTTATACCTTTACCCCCTTCAGGTCCTCTTCAGCCAAACAGTCCCTGGAAGTCATATCAGGCCACCCTCTGGCCCACGTGCTAAATGCCAGGTCAGTCCAGAATAAAATCCCTCTTATCTGCAATATGATTATTGATGAGGGTGATGACCTGGCTTGTATCACCAAGGCATGGGGGGGGGGGTTCCACCCCCTCCTGCTATGCCCACCTGGGGACTTGGTTCAGCACCAGCATCATGCAGAGGGCCAGGGAGTAGGGGTGGCCATAGTCTATAAAAATATAGTCTGTCACCAGACTTCCAGTCTACTTGGGGGCCAGGTTTGAATGTTTGTGCCTGACATTGGACTCTCAAGACAGATTAGGGATTTTGCTTGGTAGCTAGACCCACCTAGCTACCCAGCAACTTCTCTGCCTGAGCTGATGGAGGTAGTCTCAGACCTGATGTTGAGGACCCCCAAAATACTGTTTTTGGGGAACCTGAATATCCATGCCAAGGCTGCTTTATCTAGGGCAGCTCAAACCTTCATGGCTGCCATAACAACCATATGACTGTCTCAACTTGTGATTGGCTCAATGCACAAAATGGGGCATACTCTGGACCTGGTCTTTTCAACAGATCTGGAAGATGGTGGATCAGATGACATTGTTCTCAGGACAGTTTACAGATAGTGAAACATTAAAACAGCATAACAATAACCAAAAACATATATAAGGATACAAGCAAAACAAACTAAACGACTGTAACACACAATAAGCTTCAGTTTGCAGTCTCAAATGAAGTAATCAAGATGTGTCTGTTTATAGAAGGCTAAGCAGTAGGTCATGCATGCTGTAGTGTACTCAGTCCTGAAGTTGACAAAAACAGTAAAGAGAAGGCCCTGACATCACCTACCACTATCTCACTTCATTAAGTGACAGAACAGATCTTAACGCCTGGGTAGTTTGTTAAGGAAACACATGTGCCTTCAAGTAATTTACTCCCCAGCTGTTTAGGATCTAATATGTCAATAGTGCTCAGAAATGGGCCAGAGGATAGTATGACTCTTTGAACAACTGCCCAGATAATTTCCTTGCAGTCCCTTCCACTGAAAAAGCATGTCACTGAATTTTGCTCTTACAGTCTTCAAAGGCCACCCCCCATAGAAAACACTATAATCATCTAAATATTATAGATGCATGGGTAATATTTTGTGACCAGGACAGGTCATGGTGGTGCACCATCTTTAGCTGGTGAAAGGTAATTTATGCCGCAGAGGTCCCTTAAGATTCTGTAACAATGCCAGTGTGACATTCTCCCCTGCCCCATTGGATTTCTGTAGCATATGCTACTGAGCATGCTCATATGCCATGCTCAGTACTACAAAATGAAAACTAGTTTCTTTTTCCTGTCTGTGCTTCCTCACAGTCTTCCTTTTCCATTATGTTTACATTCTGGAAAAAGATCAGATTATCCCTCATGTCCATAAGATATGATTATCCATAAGATAGAAATACAAAAAAAGCAAGACTACAAGTATGTTTCGTGGTCTCTCTGTTTCTATTCGATGATCTTATCCTGCCATATTGCTTTCAGAAGTGATCATTCTCCCAAAGCAGCAGTGTTATTTTGGAGTTAGGTGATGTCATACATGTGATTGGGCTGTTACTGAACATGCCAGAGGAGAGGGGAAGGGAACTATCTCTTTATTTCAAGATGATACTGTGGCTCAGACTGTGCCTGCAGTTGTGACTGTTCCTTAGTTCAGAACTTAATATATTCCTGGTGGTTCTGTATCGACCTATGGCCCAGTTGGAGTCCACCCAGAGAAGAACTTTCAGTGTGGTGCCCATTTTGTATAGAACTCCCTGCCTCTGGAGGTCAGGCAGGCACTAACACTGTATTGTTGTTGGTACCTACTAATATTCTCTCTCTCTCTCTCTCTCTCTCTCTCTCTCTCTCTCTCTCTCTCTGAGTTCTCCTTGACTGATGAGCCATTTTATTGGTATTAGGTTCAAACAAATAAAAGCTTGCTTTAATATGGCATTCGTATTATAAGATACCATTAATACCTACTCTAAAAATACCAGCAATGCAAACAAAAATAGTGATAACACTTGATATAAAAGGAATGCTACATCCTGATTAACATAGAAACAAAGGTGATTTTTTTCTGCTAAAATTATAAGTAGTTTGAGCACCTGTGGCTTTCTGGTAGGCTTTAGAACAGTTTTTACTCTGTTCCCATTATGGCAGAGAAGAAGATAATGTTGAAAGGGAAAAATTTGGAAGACTTGGTGGTTCTTTCCCAGCTCAGAAACAGTGCCCCTTAGAAGTATCAATAATTTCTGGTATTATTATCATTATTAGGCTTAAAAGAGTAACAAAGCAGATGGTTGCTGCATTCAAGCTTGGTATCAACTCCACAGTGATGGAGATACAAGGGCCAATACTGGAGTGTTCACTTTTGTGCTGATACAGATCAAGTATGGTTCATCTTCATCGGGGCCAGAAAACATATCAACGTGCTTCTTCCCTGTTCGTAAAGATACAGTAACAGGTGCAACTGTTGTAGTTTGGTGGTTTTGGTTGTATCGTCAGTTTATGCTTCTGGTTTCTAGTTATGTGGGTCCCACGCATACCTTAGGAACTAGAAAAATATTTAAGTCTACTTGGAAAATTCAAGGAAACAGTTTATAGATCATTGAATGGATGATTCAACACATTTTTTATTCTGCATTTTCCCTTGTATTAATGCTCAGTGGAGGGACTAGCTTACTGGCATTTGCTGTGACTAAGACAGAAAATGCAAACAAGTGAAAAGAACAACCCAGCCCCATGCTATATCGAGGCAGAGGAAATCTAGTAAAATATTTCCCTTCTGGTTGTGCTAATTAAAGAGTAGAAGTTATCCTGGATGTGCATGTCCTGTCTACCTTAATAGAAAGGTCATCACAATTTTGATGTTACACTGGGGTGATCCCATGTTTCTGAACACTAGTAAAGTACTGAGAATACACTAGTAGTTTCCAAGGTCTGGTGCTCATTGGACTTCATGGTCACACAATTATCTGGTAAGTTACTATTATTAGTTGCTTGCTCTCTATGAGTTTAGAGCTATAAAAAAGCCACCAGCATCTTTGCTTCAAACAGCTCTAATATACATAAGGGAAGCTTGCCACGGGGTGGTCGGTCACTGCCCTAAAGAACTGGACCCGAAGTATTTGAGTGCTTGGGGGAAAGCAAGCCTTCTGAAGCACATAATAGTAAGTATGGAAAAACAATAAATAGAGACTGTTGTTACGAATGCCTTTAGATTGAGGTGACGCTGTTCTTTTTGAACGAGGCTCTTGATGCTGGAAATGATGTCTGTGCGGTCGCTGAAGGCAGAGATGCCCTTGTGAGGTTTAGCGTGAGAACAGGAAGGACCTTGGTGCGCGCCTTCCTCGTTTTGAATAGACTTCATAAGCAGCTCAGCAGAGCGGCCACGGGGCTGACGGTACCTGGAGGTTGCACTCGACGTGGGGGGTCCAGCTTTAGTGGTGAGGGAAATGCACTCTGCACCTACTCAGGGGCACATTTGCGGAATGCTGGCACTGAGACCAGATGCCGAGCTGAGCCCTGGGGCAGATGCCATGGTGGCCTTTCGCCCGTCTCCCCCTTCCCCGGCGCCTCGTTTCCCTTTGCTCGCTGGCGAGCAAACTGCCCCTCCTCACACCAATTGGGGAAATTCTACTCTTTCCCGAGTCGCTGGATATTTATAGCCTAACGGCGCTTCCAGCCCAAAATAACCCGGCGGGGCCGGAGACGGGTCCTCTACAGCAAGGGCACGGGGTAGCGGGGAGAGAGAAGGAGGGGGCGGCCGGCGCGCGCGCGCGCGCGCGCGCGCGTGTGTGTGAGAGAGAGAGAGAGAGAGAGAGAGAGAGAGAGAGAGAGAGAGAGAGACGGGACAGCTGCAGCCGCGCCGGGGCTCGCCTGGAATGCAGGAGCGGGCTGCGCACCGGGACTTTTATGGAAACTTGCAGAGCCCGTCGCTGGAGCCGCAGCCAAGGGGCGCGCAGCGGCGGCGGCAGCAAGAGCTCTCCAGCTTCCCTCACGCCCACCCATCCGCTGGGATTAACTGGAGACGACGAGCGAAGCGCACGGGCGCTCTGAGGTACGAAAAGCTGCCTTTCGAGGGGTAGCGAGGACAGCGGCGCGGGCTTCACGGGGAAGGAAGGGTTTCGGGACAGGCGGGCGAGCGCCGCTTCCCCCGAGGGAAAGCTCTCGCTTCCACAACGACAGGCAGCCCCAGCTGACTTGACTCCCTGCCGGTTGCCCCTGTGCTGGTCAGGGCTCGACGAGGGCTCTGGCTGCCTTTGCATTCACTGTGCCTTTGCGAGCGTTGTGGGTTGCTCTCAGTTGGGAGCCAGCATGACACAAGGAGGTGGGATGCTTATTAACCCGTCCACAGCGGCAGTTTCTTGGGCCCTGACAAGCTGCTCCCAGCCCGCCTCCCCCGGGCAAGTTTCAGGGTCTCCTCGGGAAGGCAGGAGCTCAGCACTCTGTCCGCTCCTCGCCCTCTCTCCTCTCCCCGAGAGCTGTGCTCCATATCGAAGGAGCAACAGGCTAAACCATTTTACTTGGAAGAAAGAAAATACCAACAAATGCGCTAAGCTCGTTTGGAGCTGCTGCCTCTAAATGGAGGAATCGGCCAACGCCAAACTACTGTGCAATGGAGGAACACATCTGGTATGGCATCTTGGAACAGGGTAATAGCAGCAGATGTCCTTTGTTGCAAGGGAGGGCCCCTCTTATTCTGAAACTGTTCCACTTGGACAACTCCAAAATCTGCTGCGCGCGGTAGAAATATCCCCCCCCCCGCCGTGCCTCATACTATATTCTGTTTTAATTGAATCAACATTAAAAACTATCATCCTAGTACTCGCAAGCCAGGGCAAGAGGCAGCGGAGTTATCTAAGTTCCGGAGAGAACAGCTTGGATTATGCGAATGTCTTTCTGCTTCCTAGAGGTCAATAAAAGGAAACCTTTTACTGAAAGGTGTAGGACTGATCGGTGGCTAAGGAGATGACAACTAGGAATAAGGTGCTGAGCTAATATTAGAGCCGAGGTAGTGGTGGTGATAGTGTCACCAGATAAGTGGGTGGGTGATCGCTAAACCCTTGCTCTCGTCATTTGCTTATCTCGCCTAGCTGCTTTGCCTTTACTAAATGCAAAAGGGTGTTCTGAGTGGCGCTGACACGTCATAAGAATTTATTTTAAACTGCTTCCCAGTGTTTAACTGCATATATATTATTAATTTGAACTGTACAGTGCAGAAAAGAATATTTTAACAAAATGTGAAGGCAACGGATAATTGTTGACCGAAGCAAAAGGCAGCCATATAGTTTTGTCATGTACAAGTGGAAATGAAGGACACCTGAACTAGAAAACCCGATGTTTCCTGAATAGGGGATGGAGCTTTTAAATGAAGTCATGGGGAGAGGAGAGTGTGTGTCAACAGTATCAGGCAAGTTCTAGTTGGAATGCCTGTATGGATGGGGTACTGGTTAAGAATGCTGAACTGGAACAAAGGAGATTGAGGTGTTAGTTCCCATTCTGCCATGAAGCTTACTGGGTGACTTTGGACCTATCATGGACTCTCAGCCTAACCTCTCAACCTCACAGAGTTGTGGTAAGGACACAATGAAGAGAGCTTGGTAAGCAGTCTTGGGTTCCTTGAAAGAGAAAGGAAGGATACAAATGTAATATCATTACCATCATCTTCAGGATTTATATGTGTATAGTGCATGCCTAACGTACTGATTTTTTTAAAAAATATGTACAATTTAAGATACAAGTTTTTTATAAAATGTGCTGTTGAAAATAAATGGTGTATGGTTGACAATATTGTGCCATAATATAAAATACATTATCTTAAATAAGGAAGGGATAAGGGACGGTTGCTGGCATTTTGTATTACCAGGTTGACTGTGCAGCTGTGTCGTCCTGGCTATGGGCTTATGCGACCCCAGTTTAGGTGACTTTTTTATTACCTCAGTTGTGGGACATACAACTGAAATGTCTCTTTCCTACCATCTACCCTGCCTTGCTTTGCAATAGCTTCTGATTCCTTGTATGCCAGAACAGAAATTTCTCAGACTTTCTCAGATGAAGGCCTACTTGAGAGAACAAAAAATGACTAAGTCCTGCTAGTCACAGAATGCTAACAAGATGGAGACCAAGTCAGGGCCGTCTTAATGCATGGGCCTGATGGGCCCTTGCCTGTGGGCCCCGTACTAATCTGTGTATGTTAACCCTTGGAAAATTGGAAAACTTCCAAAACTTCCAAAATTAACAGTAGTTGTAGTTGTCGTAGGGGCCCCAGTACACTGCTTTGCCTGGGCCCATAATGCTGTTAAGATGGCCCTGGACCAAGTTTTGTAAAATTGGCTGGCAATTGCTGATATTTCATCTAAACCCTCACTGAAAATTGCTGAATTCTTTCCCACAGCTTTTTGCTGCAGCAGGGTCTTCCCTAGTTCATCTTTCTTCAACTAAGCTACAGATACTGGCTCTGGAGTCAGCATTACACAGTGCTCCCATTTCTGGAAGAATTTGCTGATCCAGAGGCTCTCTGTTTGAGTTCCCAGAATAATGGCCTTGGACACCAGTGTGCCCACACATCTCTCTCTTGGCATCTGTCACACTCTATGACTCTTGTGATATTAATTTTATTTAAGAACATTTAAAAGTGTTGTTTTAACAGGGAGATGGCCATGCTGCAAAGCAACATATTGCCCTCTGAGTTCAAAATCTTTATTAGGGTTCAGTGGGTGGATTTACAGTTTGGAACTCAGATTCCCATATCTTCCATAGACTTAAGTTCTTCAGCTATTTATTTTTCTATTAGTCTCACCAGTTGGTCTTCTGGGAAACACATGGCCTTGACTCTCAAAATTCCAAATATCCCCACTTATCCAAAAAGGTTTGAGACACCTGCTCTAAATAAGCTATTTGATATTGCTTCTCTTCCACTCTTCCTCATGACTTCCTTTCATAGTCTTCTGGACTATCTATTGTAATTTCCTCTTGTGTTATTCTTTCATATTTAATGTGTTTCTTTCAAACCTTTCATACCTGCTGTTCTTACATTCACTTTTTACTATAAGAGCTTCCTTACTTAACTCCCACCCTCTTTAATTCTGTTTTAAAAAATTATTATTAGCCAACTCCCACTGCTACCAATTGCCTAAGGTAAGGTATATGATGCAACTGTAACTGGTTAGGCAAATAAAGAGACACTGGGTAATGGGCAAAGCTGAGACCCACCTGATGTTTAACTGAAAAACCATTGCAAGGTGTCAACATACAATTTCAGAAACACTGTGTTAGAACACTTGCCAATCCTGATTTTAAAAAGAAAGAATGACAGAAAGAAAGAAAGATTGAAAGAAAGACTCTAAGGATGTGCAGTTGGGGATTTTAGGTTGATAAAATCATAGTACCACCAAAACTACAGAAATAAAATGGAGTTTGTATCAGCTGCCTTGATGTCCTTATCATGTGCCACTCATTGGATTTGCAGGTCCCTTGGACTAAGGGCTCTGGCCTTCTGAGCTAGGCCCAGCCCTAGCTGCACCAGGTATCTGATACATTTTACTGAATCATATTCAACACAAGGAAATATGTTTGCCTACCAGTTCAGCTGGGTCCTTGCTCATTATAGTTCTCACAGAGGTGAAATACAACTAGTGGCTAAGAAACTCTTTTGTTAACTGCAAAGCCCCAATTCATATCTCATTTTTCCATTGAAGTAACCAAGCAAGCAGGTTGATCAAACCTACTCTGCCTTAGGCCTTTCATTTCTACAATATTAACGTAATGCTGACCTATATTACAGGATTATTGTAATAATGACCAGGAAAAATCACATGGCACATTTCTAGTGCCAAATAACTGCCAGCGCCAAAGCTGTTTATTTTATAAATAAACCACCCCGAGGTTTCGGCAAGGGGCGGCATAGAAATGCTATAATAATAATAATAATAATAATAATAATAATAATAATAATAGTAAGGGACAGGGAACACAGTTTAGAATTAGAAAGGTATCTCTCCAACTGTCCTCGACCTTTCAGGAATACCCGCTGTACAATGAACATGTGCAAGAGGAGGAAAGATTAGGAATGAGCAGGTTAGTTCTGCCCCTTTCCAGGAGTGAAGTTGGAAGGGTGTATCCTTATAGGCTCCCTAACCAAATTAGAACACTTCTCTAAAATACTTCATTCCATTATTTTCACCTACTCAGAGGTTTTGCTTTTCCAACAGGCATTCAATATGCTTTGGCTATGAACTTGCTCAGTCTTCATTGGGTAGATTTTGAAGGGGGAAGGCTCTTTGCCTCCTTTGGTTTTTGCACAAGTTGTAATCTGTACCATGAGAGGGTAGTGAACTTGGTCCTCTATTTGCCATTTCTTACCTGTGGTCCTCCTCAGTGCTACCAACAAGGTAACATGTTTATTTTTCCTGGTTCCACTAAAACAGCTCTTTATTCTTGGTAAGTCTGGTGTTTGTCAGGCAATTCACATTAACCAAAGTTAAGTCATGGACAAATTTAGCTGTTTAGTTTGAAAAACAGCAAAGTGGTTGGCCTGTAACAGAAAGGCAGTTGACCATCTAAACCTTATCAAAATGGTTTCCCTAATTAAATAAATAAAGTCCTAGTAGTAAAGAAACTACATTTGTCATAGCATTTTAGCACTGCCGTTTCCTGCATTTTTTTTTTTTTTTCAATTTAGCTTCTATTTTCCCAAAGGTCTTGATTCTCTACAACAATCCCTGTATTAGTTTCTTTCTTTTGATGACTGACTTTTGAACTGCATGTAGGCATGCCATTTTCATTTATATACTCTATTCTGACTCCTCCTCCCAACCTCTCAGTCAGTCAGAAAGGCAGTATAATTTTCTTGGTTAAGTTTTTGGACCCGCATGAAATAGATTAGTTAGGTTTCAGTGTCCCATTATATTGATCTTTTGGACCACATGGCAATACCCAGCTAGTTAAACCCCAAACAACCCAATGATTAAACATGAAGAAACAATTATTTTATAACAAGTATAAAATAGCCAAACAGTTTCATTATTTCAGATATGATAAATTATTTTTCTATAATAAAAAATTTCCTATAATGAAGGTTTGATGGTTGTCATCTTTTAAGACAGTAAGTTCAGTAAGAAATTAGTATCTGTAAGAGAAATAATGTATTCTGCAGAGCTTTGTATCTTCTTTCCCCTGCAGATTAACAAGCTATTTTCACCAGCAAAGGGTTAAATACTCCAAGCTTCCACACTGTTTCACTGATCAAATTAGCAGCCACCCACATGCTACCTATAATGGGAGTGAAAAGCTTGGCTTGGCTTGGGTTGGGTTGGGTTGGATGTTCAATATTTTTGGTTTACCAAGCTGAGATATGGATGAACCTTTAGGTACAAAACCAAATGTTTCATTTTCCTTTTGTGTGAAGATAAACTAGGAAAACTGTTATTAGCCATAATTAAAGCTGTGGTTTAATATCCTGGCTTCTTTGGAAGTTTGCAGTTCAGATGAAACAGCAAATAATGATCAATGAAGGACTTCCTGGTTTATTGTTGCTTGCTGGAAAGGGAAGAACATGCATGCATGCATACCTAATATTTTGTTAATAGCTTGGTTTATTAAGCTGAAATATTGGTAGTCCAAATGCAGCTACTGGAGGAGTGACCATATACTTCCTATCAAAATCAGTAGTGGCTTTAAGGTTGGAATAAAAAGGCTGTGGTTCTTTGAATCCAAGGGATTTCCCCCCCTTTAATCTGCAATCCTATGTATATCTAGTGAAGAGTAAACACTATTGAACTCAACAAAATTTATTTTGGAGTTGATATAACTAGGATTGTATTGATTTATTTCATATTGAACAGCAGTGCTGCCTTGTCACAAGGTAAATTGCTTCTGGAGCTGAAGAAAGTTACAAAATCAGATTTTGACTATGATACAGAGATCAATTGTTTAAAGCAAATGGACATTCTATTGGCTAAAGGAAGGCTCTTTCACACAAACAGTTCTTTGGATCTTGTCTTAGAAATTAATACTATAGGGCTATTCAAGGCAGGCTACAAAGTGATGTTTCCAAGCATGTTACAAAGTGACCGACAACTAGAATCTTGTTCTCTAAAAATAACAATTTGGAAATTACATTGTTCTTTACCATCTTGGTAACATGGTTTCTAACTGCTTACCTTTTAGGACATCCTCTGAATCCAGTGGTAATAAATGTGTGTTCACTGTTAGTGAATTTCCACTGAAATAAAACATGTTTTTAGCACATTTGTTTTTCTGTTTCTTTATTAGCAAACAAGCTGATTTTACTGTTCCGTGTTATGGTTGTAGTTGAAGGACATTTTGTATTTTGATCAGCCTCTGTTTCTTTAATCATAACCATGTGCAACATCTCTGTGTGTAGATGCTGGTAAAAACAAGAGTATAATT